CAGCTACTTTTGTTGTGAATAGCCCACCTTTAGGTTTTCAGAGTAGTAAATACACAGTCATAGTAGATAGTTAATCTAAATACAATTTGACAAAAATGTAGATGCGTTTGAAAACATAACATTTTTCAAAAATCCAGCGCGATTTTTGGTTAGAACTTGACAATGGCCGCTTTTGAATCACTAAATTTTAGCATTTTCACCAAATATATCTACAAGCTATTGCCGAGAGTTCTCCATTCAAACTAAACAGTATTTAAAACTTAATCCGTCTAAAATTACCGTTAGAAACTTATTGATAACCCCAATATAAGGAATTATATTCTGGGTTTACAATGTATAGTAACATTCAAGTATTCAAAATGATTTCATTCTTGGAAGTTTTTGGAATTACCGCCCTATGTAATTGCAAACCTGAACTTAAAAAATTTCTGAAAAAAACTTTTTGCCTTGAATATAGGTCCTTCATTCCAGTGTTTCTGGTTCCCGCTTCTAAATACAAGTTTTGATATTATGAAATTTTATCGTGTTCCAAATGAGCTGTTTTATTTGTTGTTGTTTTATTCCATTTTTTCTGTTAAAAAAGAATTGCAACCATTCCAAAAGCATACACATATTACCTCATCTAAACATGAATGAAAAATATTTCAATGTAGGCGCCACTTGTCTTCAGTTGCCACGTCTTTTTCGTCTGTTCATTTCTCGTGAATGTAAGAATCATGTTTTTTCCTATGGATATGTATCTCAAGTGTACAACAAAAATGGTTAAATGGTTAAACGACTTCAATAAAATGCAATATATATAAACAATAAAAAATGCATTTGATACAAGTTCCTTGTATAATATTAGTATATAGAACACTATACACTCTAGTTTTCCCATTATTCCATGTTTCATTTCAAAACGCGATTTATTCAAACAAAGTACTCGAATATGACAGAAAGACTTTTATTTGGAATTATGAATATGTTAATACATTTTTAAGCAAAGACAAGAATGCGCACGTCTTAATATTTTTATTTACTAACAATTATACGCCAGTAAATTATTTTCGCAACTATTCTATTTAGATGTTGTTTTTTATTTGTTATTTTCATCGAGATGATCGAAAAGGTGAAATTAAAGAATATGCTTGATCATGATCCGCATTATGCTGATATTCATTCCTTTTCTTTTAAGATATTAATATAATCTTCAAGAGTAAATGCAACCGTTAATACAGAAAATTAAATGTATAAGATTTGTAATTTATTATGTTGAATTAGTTGACAAAGCCGAAATAGTTACTACATGAATTCTTTTGATTATACAGATTCCTAAATAGCTTTATCATTTTTATCGCAGTTCATTCCTTCCAAACAAAATCTTCGAAGGTGAGACACAACATTATTTTATGAGTATTTTTATCGACAAACTGAAAGATATAGAGCAAAGTACATTTTCTTATGCTCATTTTTTTGACAATTTTAAGTGCTTGTAATTATGTCAACACCGAGGACCACCAAAAGTGGTTAGACTAATAATTTCGACATTCTTTCAATGACCCTATAAAACCAAAATATTTACTGGGAGTATGAATTAATTCGAAGCGTTATTTTTAGTTGGAAAAACTGTATTAATTTCGAAGGAATGAATTTCACACTTTTGAACTGAGCACGTCGCATTTTCCGATATTTTGAAAATTGCAATTCATTTTGCATTCTCTTCTTTAAAATTGAAATATTATAGATTTTTACATTATATGTTAGTTAACATAGCTAAAAGTAAAACGAAATATGAGAGAAAAAATAAAAATATATCCACATCCAACCAGAGCTGTCCACGAACGTTCGTTCGTTCGTAGAAAATCGAATGTTCGTACGAACAACGAACACATTATAAAAAATACGTACACTGCCGCCAGAAAGTTTGAATTAACAATTTTCATATAAATTACTGTTTTTCACAGGTATCGCGGACCATGAAGGAGTCATTTCCGATATATGGTTTATTCAGACAAAATGTAAATCATAGTATCGACTACATTTCATCTGAAGACATCAACTCTCTCTCAGAAGTGATTCCATCATAAAATTTTATTGATTAAAAGCGCAGATACTCAGGAAAATCCATTTTTTTCATATAAAAATAAAGAGGCTTACGTACACAAGCTGAATTTTCCGCATGGAACCGAAATTTTGGGAATAAACTGAAATTATGGTCTATGTATGGTTGCAGTAACTTAAATTACCGTGAAAACTTGTGAATATTATTTTCTTTTCAAATAATCACACCAAGTTTGAAGAAATTTCAATAAAAAATAGCCTGTTCAAAGTTTCACATCATTACGGTACCACAAAGGCATGTCTTTCATACAAAAATGAAATTTGTTGACCTGCGTGACGTCGGCCCCCCACCCCTCTGTCAAATTAATATTTGAGGCTAGATTCTACTAGCATGGAATTTGTGCTAATTTGTGCCACCATTTTTAGAATTTGTGCTATGCACCCGAGCCGGCACAAATTCGACAAAAGTCGATTTTTTTGAAAAAATGAATATTTTGTATGGCAAAAATATAAATGAAATATGCATGAAAACGTGAACAAAGCACAATTCTATATTCCTCGGAATTTGTGCTGACCAACCGCTTCGGCAACCGCTTCGATTCAGCATCTGGGCAGCAATGCTTTACAGACGCTACGAATAGCTGCGCTGTTCAGATAGGAAAAAACCATCACTGTTAAAAATCGATTTTTCGCAAAAATGAACATTTTATATGGGATTTTTTTTTAAACGGGATGTTTTTGGGGAAATCTTTGCACAGGGATTTAGTGCTATATTTGTGCTCACAAAAAATATATACTTTTGTATTGGAGCACAAATTACCCAAATTTTTATTTGAGATACTCTTTCAAAATTTTTACACTGGCAAATATACTTTTCAGATCAAAAAACACGTCGTGTCGTACCTTCTGAGTTAATTGAAGTTAATAAAAATAATGAGTCGTCATTAGGTGTAAAAAATAGAAATGTTATCTAAAGCGAGTCGACCTTTGTGTGTTTGAATACAGGGGGTAAATATTGTACAAAATGTAATACAATAATGACATTTGTGATTTTGACAGCTCGGCCATGATTTGGCCTCCTTGCTCAAAATGAAACACCACCCTATCGAATATCCAGCGACCAGTCTTTTCGACTTGGGAGGAACAGATATCGATTGTGTTTATCGTATTAACTTCTATATGTCTATTGAATAAATCGAGAAGAGAGTATGTTATTCAGCGCTTATGGCTGAGTAATGTCTGAATAAAAACATACTCTCCTCTGGATAT